GTGTGTGTGTGTAAATAAACTACAAAATTATACTACGGGCTTATATCGAGACGAGGGCCCGAAGCTCTTCTTTCGCACTCTCCTTGGGCATTAACCCGCCCCTGCTGACAATCATTTCTCAATTTAATAAGAATGCATTGCAAGAAGGATGGGTTCAACTTAGAATGTGTAAATTAGTGCTATTTGCTTTGTGCGTAGTAATTGGATGAAAGGGTGTATTTCAGATCAATCTTCTTTATGAAACAAATTTCAAAAATTACTTGAACTGCCGCCCGTGTTTTATTTTACTGACGTGAGTTTTTTTAAAGCACAATACCAAAATCCGACAGAAGTAATCTATTTTAAAATAGCACAGTCAATGATAACGACATTTAACATAAAACTGCGTGTATGAATGCACCCTAAATGAGACTATCAATGAAGGAGAAAATAGCGCTTCCAAACATTTTCTTTAACAAATCTAATGCGCACCGCTAAGAATGTAATGTAAGTGGTACGCTCGAAATCTTCTTAATCAGATTAAATGTCAAAAGGGATGGATCCAGGAATTTTGGGAGAAAGTAAGGTGCTTTACATTCGCTTTTTAAAATCTACTGTTCCAAATTCCATTGCAAAACAGGTAAAGTAACTGAAGTTGGACGTTAGTTATTTGTGTGTATATATTTACTAATTTTTCTGTAGCTCGGTGCAATAATGGCCGATGTCAGCTTCTAATGATTTTTGTCATGTATGACCGACGTGTGCCTTAAAGCCTCTTCTTTCAGTGTAAGAAAGGCAAAGCGATAGTATTCCATCTCATGATTTCACAATCGATCTGTACATACCACCATACTACAAACACTGATTTGTTTTTTTAAATGGAGCAGACAGGGCAGCAGGAAGCTTTTCTCAGGGCGGGCGGTGGCGGTTACCTTGAGGGAGGGCACGTGCACGACGTCGCCGTACTGGTCCTTGGTGAGCACGGTGACGATGGCCGGCCAGCCGCAGCGCATGTCGTCGCGGCTGTACAGCACGTCGCAGCGGCCGGGCTCCACGTACGAGTCGGGCTGCAGCCAGCGCGCCAGGCGCCCGCCGCTCGTGCCCGGCGCGCACTGCACCAGGTCGCGCAGGAACAGGCGCTCGTTCGAGTGGCAGCTGCAACACACCCACAACGCACGCCCTTCACTCCTCGGTCCGCCCACGAAGCGCAACCAAGCAGAGCCACTCCACAAACTGGCCAGTCGGCCGTCCGAAAAGATCAATCGAAACAAATAAGTTGCAGCTCAACACAGCATTTGAGTATTCCTTCTCCCTATTTTAATCATTTGTTTTTCTTTTAAGAAAATGGTATTAAGCCATTGGACGACACACGGCCAATATCACAAATAACGGACTTGGTGGGTTACGTGATGTTAATAACTATTTCTTTACTCTGTTCTATGAATTTAGACATCTGAACAAAAGTTAAACGTCCGACAAACGTAAAGGATTTTAATAGTCAGCATCCGTTACGAATAATCAAAACAAAGCACTTGCAGCTAAAGTTGTGCTTTAAATACACCAAGAAAAGTTATTTATTTATATTTTTTATTACAAGATATGGTATTACGAAAATAATTTAACGACACAGCCAATACCACATATAACTGACTTGGTTATAAACCTGGGCAATCACTTCAAAATACAACCTCCAGCCGCATTTTTTTTATTGTTTGTCGGCCCAAAGACGTTAATAACCACAATATGCTTTCAAATAAGTAGCACAATTTATAAATGGAACATATGATAGGCAGTGGCATAATTAATATTTAAATACAAGCGTCGAACACCATAAGAAGAAATAAATGTTCAGCTTGTTTGGAATGCTCGGCTCACTTGAATTTTGTAGTCATATTTGTTATACACAACGCATTTCATGTGATGCGGCTACTGGGTAAATCAGAGAGACCATAAACACATTCAAATGATCGCAAAAATGAGAGGAATATTTAATTAGAAATAGACCATCACGCCAATTCCTACTTTTATGGAAGATTTAATTATCTAGTATAATAGATACATAATAGTTGCCCAACATTATTAATATTATTGTTACTTAATTACTTCATTGTACGTACCTATATACAGGTGTTCAGGGGAAACGTGAAAAATAAGACCTTAAGACAATTTTAAGCATATTTTGATTGGTTTGGAAGAAAAGCTTTGTAGACGAAAATTTGAATTGCAGAAGCATAGAACCGTTTCAGAAACATGTAAATTGTTTATTATTTACAAAAGAATAGAATATACTTGTTCAGAAAGAAAAAATAACCCAGAAATAAAAAGCAGTCGAATTGTCTAAGTTGTGATCTTTATAATTTCTATATTATTTTAAGCATTATATAAAACCAACTTTTGACTGCTTATTGCAGGTCAGCCATCCGAAATATCCAAGTAGTTTATAACACAAAATATGCTTAAAATTGTCTTAAGAACTTATTTTCGAAATTTCGTGTTTCCTTCTTGGACACACTGTATACATTCACGTGTACAATATTCACTCTTTTCGTCTAGTCACCTCACTCTGTTTGACTGAGTCCTGTGGATAACTAACTGCAGCCTTTAAAAAAATTGCAAAGAAACTAACCAACCTAACTTCTTGCATTCACTTAACAGGAAGAATTAATTATGAGTAATTTGTGGCGAAACCTTTTTACTTTGGCTAAGAAAGTACGAAACCCATACAACGCCCGTCCTTCCGTCGCCGACGTTTATGAAATATACAGCAACGAGCATCTCGGGATAGCGTCTTCTCAGGGCGAGAGAAAATATCAAGCATCCGAGTCGGAGCACGTAAACTGGCCGGAAGTACAAAGAGCGGGAAAGAGCGGAGGCCAGCAGCCGCATACAAATGCACGCGGCGCCACTGTACAGAAACACGCAACGACCAAACAGCACGGCGCAGACCACACGTCGTGCGGAGACGAGCTCTGGGAAAGACTCGTTTCGGAAGCTGTGCAGCTATCAAGAACAACAACCTACTCTTTCACAAAACCACTGGAAGATGGGTCTCGCGAGTTATGAGAATCCTCGTATCGACTCCTACGTTTGGAATCATCAACTGCAGAAACGAGAATTATGCAGAATACATTCCAAATAATGCACGATAAGGGATCGCCTTATCGCTTCCCTAAATAATGATGTCCACTGCTGAAAACACTTTAGGCTTCGATACGGATCTAATTTCCATCTCTACGTTATCGAACTTAATAAATTATTACAGTACTTTCTTATTACAAACCAATTACGTGTGTTTTACTGGTTTTATTTCTTTATCTTCCTTATCATCTTTCATCTTTTCAAATTCTTTCTTGACATCTGGGAAGCCA